GAGGGGGCAATATTGACTGGTTCCCAATGGCAAAAAGTCTGGTTGCGTTCTCTCGTGGCTGTACCAAAGGTAGGCTTAGCAAGGGGCTTACTGGCTTAGCACCCAGTTTACAGTAGCTTGAAATTCTCGCTAACATTGTGCAGAAAATCGTGTCACTTTGACACAGGATAGCATTTTATATAATATATAATTTTTTATATAATATATATAAAATATTTTATATATTACATAAAAAATTATATATTGTATTAAAAATTTTATATTATATAAAATATATATTATATAAAATATTATTTAAATATATAATAAAAAACCATTTCATTTTTTGCTAAATAATAAGTGAACACATGGCACCTCATACAACACAGAGATAAGTACAGTACCACCTGAATCAATTGCAATTTTTTTGACAAGTACCGTATTTGAAGACGTACTGTGTATTCAGTATAGTACGATAACATGTCAAGTCAGACAAGACATCAATTATATTTAGTTTACTGACGCAAACACCTTTCGAAATTAGAATTGTTTTTTAAATATTAAAAATCATACACAATTATAAAGATAAAAATATACATATCGGATACTGTAAATTGAAATCCTTCAGATTTTTAAACTGTAAAGATACCAACAAGAATATCAAATCTTTTAAATAGACTGTTCAATGCTTTGGACATTAGCTTAAGCTACAGCATATTTACACCTGTTTCGTTTTATGGAACAACAAAAAGGTAATGTTTTTCCCTACAGTAGTTGCATGTATTTCACTGAAAAGTGTGAATGTTTTTTACATGTATTGTTCAGCAGCGTTCTTAATTTGTAAAAGGATGCCTTTCCCGTTTTGTGAAATCGACAGGTGTGGATAGCTTTTATAGATTTACCTGCCAAGGTTAAAATCTGTTATACATGGCCAATGGTAAATATAGAAGTATAAACTCATAAAACCGTGTAAGATGATACAGGTGACGAATCTATGTTCAACAACAACAACTTCTTCCCATTTAAAACCAAGAAACAAATTTTATCTACTTCAGGCAAGACTTGTATACCTTGTTTCGCAAATTTATTTTTTTAAAGAGGGCGGAAAAATAAATTTAAATTTTGTTTTCATATTTAGCAAGTAGTTTTCCCAAAAAAAAAATCCAGACAGAGAAGAAAATAAAAATAAAATGTTATTGGTAAATGCATGGATTCCATGGTAATACAGTAATGGGATGGTTAAATGCTTTAAATTTAACCATTACGAAGAAATAAACATTTATTTCTTGAGATTTTAAGGCAGCGGCAGGTGTCTTAAAAATTAAGAAAACTTATTTTTTTCTGTAATTTCAGTTTTTTGGTTGTGCTGGGTGGTCTAATTAGACAAAAACAAAATTTTTTTTTTTTTTAGAAATCATCATTATTGGCGGGTGGTGGGTTCACTAAACAAGGTATAACTGTTTATATGGTCAATGTTAAATATTGAAATAAAAATATTTCACCTTTTAAACTCATAAAACAGTTTAAAATGATCTACCAAGTGATGAATCTATCTTCAGCAAAAATCACTTCTTCCCGTAAATCATGACAACAGATTTTGCTTGACACTTGCATTTGAAGAATCTGACTTCAGTTTGAGTAGATGATTTTTATGAAGTGCAATGCTTGGCTTGATCTTAAAGAGGAGTATAGTCAACCTTCTTTAATTACAGATTATTGCAATCAGTACAACTTCCTCTAAAATTTTACCAAAAATCAACTTGTTTTTTTATATATTATAATTTATCGACAGATGAGTAATCTCTATTTAGATACCCACCATAACCGTACCATCTGTATCGTTTAATTACCTTTACTGTATTAATTTTTAGCAATCGATGGTATAAATAAATAAATACAAATTTAAAATTTAATTTATTTAATAAAAATTAAAAATTTAAATAATTAATTAAATAAAAATTTAAAAATTCATCATTTTCATTGAACTAAATTATAAGCGAGTCCGTCCTACATGGTACTGTAGCCTATTAACCTACGTTCACATCAGTGGCTGGACAAAAATTCGTAAAAAATGGGTTCAGTGGTAAAGACTAGGAATGTTCACATCAAATTCGTACAATTTCCAATTCGGACTCCAGATCCGACCGATGGATCTGAGAGCCATTTGTATCGTGGAATCGTACGTTTTTTTTTCTTGGATCAATCAGCAATAAGCTTGGTTGGTTCGAACCAATCGAACGCATACGCACTTAACCCAAATAACCATGTTCAGAGTGTAGCATTCAAAAAATGTATCAATTCAGGATTTCTTGTACGGGTTCCAGACCGGATCCGGGCTTGATGTGAACGTAGCTTTATAGTTGCAAAATCGTAAAAATGATGACGGTGGCGGTGTAGACTATTTCTCCCAACTGGTACAACTGCCATCCAAAATTTTAACATGAAAATTAAATGCCTAATCTCTTTTTTATGTTTTTAAAGGACAACAGTGAAACTTTTAATTTAATACTGTTTTAATATCTTGTACAGATTCTAGGCCTCTGTAGGTGTACAGTAGAAAGCAGGCCCGTATCCATGGGGGGTTTTATGGCTCGGGAGAACCCCCTTTTCTAGCAAACCCCCCTCTTTTCTGGCGAACCCCCCTCTTCAAATTTCCCAAATAAGTCCTCCAACCCAACTAATGCACTGCAGACCCACCCAAACAAAGACCTTTTCAAACATATCTGCTTTTATAGCATTATTTAGACCCATAAAGCACAAAAAGATCAATTTGTTTCCAAAGATTTGGCTTCTTGGTCATTTGGGGAATAACACCTTTAATTAGATTTTCAAAATGGCTGAACATTTAAAAACCATATTCAAAAGCTTAATCCATGAAGCTGTTAACCTAGATAAAGTGGGATGAACCGGCGACTTTACATTACCCTCCATTCTCAGATTTGAAGCACTTAAAAACGAAATGGTGACAAGACATGAGTTAATAGCTTTTGAATTATGTATGGAGAAGATTAGCTCCATTCAGCCAACATTAACATTATTGGCTTTCGCATCAATTACATTTTTTAAATTTTTAATGTACTACTGTAGGTAATTTGTTGTTTTAAAGCTGACTTAAATTGCATTCCTTTTATCTGTTGTCACATACTTAAAGACAGCATTAGCTCACTGCTATGTCTTTGAATTTGCATTTTTATGGTATTTCTGTCAGTCAACATTACTATTATCTATTTTGATTGTCAATGATGTAATTTTTTTTAATATGCAAGTGTGCATTTGTTATCATTATTCAATTCACATAATGGCTGATTACTGACTACTCATTATATGTTGTGATTGCAAAAAAAAATGTATTTGCCTTTGAAGTCAGAAAATACAGAAGCACATTTTTAGTTTTTCTAATTTGTCCGTTTTTCTGCACAGTATGTAGTTTGTTTTTAAAACTCCATTAAAAATGATTTTTTTTAAATTTGTTGTCAGTCATATAATGCAAGACTACTGTTTAAGTTTAGTTTGAAATTGAATTTTCTAAAATTTATATATGTTTAGAGTTGATTTTTACCTCTGCTCGGTCACATTGAGAATATAAGCATGCATATGAATTCTCTTTGCTGTTTTTTCCTAATCTACAATTTCCTTGTTAGTTTCAAGCTCAGTTGAAATTGCTTTCTATCTGCTGTCATTTATTCAACTACTTCATTACACTATCTTCGTTATGTGTTTGCCTTTTAAAATATTTAACTCATTATGATGTTAGTTTGCCTTCACTTCGAGTGTCAATATTACAATTATTAGCGTCTCTTTTCGTTGTCATTGTTTTTCGTAAGTCTACAATGTCCTTTGTACTGTCAAGCTGACATATTGCTTTTGGCCGATTGAACGGACGGAAATGCCTTTTTTCTTGTCAAATTATTTCAATGATTTAACATTTTCTCATCTAGCCATCTGTTATGTAACATTTCAAATGGGGATGTTTTAAATGACTAATGAATATTCATTAAAAAAATGTAATACCGGTATGTAGTGTACAGACCTGGAGAAAAAATGGTTGTGCCTCTGACCATAATTATTTTAATGAAATAACTCCAGCATCATGATATTACCTGCTGCCACTCTATATACAGTACAGCCTAACAGTTGTCTCGAAAAGAAAAATACCTTTCAAATGCCGGTTGTGATCATACGCTTTATCTAGCCTTAGTAAAGTAACTGATGAGTATGTTGCTTTTTAATAAATTAATTTGTGGTGTAACATTAGGCATGATTACATCTTCCCCTTCAGCAGAGTTAAATGATATCATGAACATTTAGAAAAACATAAACATTCCAGCTCTGGTTGTAACTGATACGAATATTGCTTTCAAATTAATTTATCGTGTAACATTGAAGATTTTGATTATATATATCTTCCTTTGAGGCAATGGTTCGAATGACAAACGTGAGCTTTTAGAAAAACATTAAACTGGATCATTTAAAGCTTGCAATTCATCTTGAAATTGAATATTTTGATAGAAATTCTGTTTTTCGTTTAGTCATAGCAAAATAATAATATAAACGCTTTTAACTTAAAATTACAAAGCGCTTTACAGTGAAACAATGTAAATCTGTAATATTAGAAATAATGTTTAGTTATTCAATCTCTTCATTAAATTGTTTTTCGCCTCATTGCTAACGATTCTTTTAAATGTTGACATTTGTCACTTCGATATAAAAGGGACGATATCATGATTAATTGTCATTCTTTATTAGATTTGTTTGATGGAACTTATCTATCACGTGCTTGGCTTTAACGGCACCACATGAAATGACTATTGGAATGGCGCCATATAAATGAAACGATTTATCGTTTGATTGATGGAGCATGTAGCAAGCCCGTAAATCATTTCTGCACCTGATTGTTTGACTAAAAGGTTTATAGCGGTAGTTTAACACTCATGTTTTCTTTTTCGAACCCTTTTTTTTTCTTTACAGAGCTATTTGAAGTCAAGTTTCTTAATGATGGCTAGAAAACCCTCTGGTTCATTATGAATTTGTTCAAAGTGGAAAAAAAACTTCCTTCAAAAAGTGATGTTGAAATCGTACAAGATTGTCTAATTACAGAGTTAGAACAGCAAATTCAAGATATTGAAGAATTGGAGAAACAGGAGAAAGAAGCGATTGAAAAAGCGTCCAAGTGTTCGTATCAGGCCGATTACTCTTGGCTTGCAAACCGGACAATACAACATTATCAAATACCTGTCCTGCAAAAACTACAAATTGAGGAATTGTGCCTCTCTGTGAAACCATCAGAAACGAGACAAATCATTTTGCGATTTCGCACTTTAATGACACGAAGACCACCACTTGAAGAAGTTGCATTAATAATGATATCTGTGATAAAACAAGTGCTTCAGGAACGAAACAAGGAAGAAAGTTTTTCCGAATGGTTGGTGCGAAGATCATCTAGTTTTGTATCTCTTAGATCAAATACTAGACGAGTCTCACCTGTGAATGATCCATCAGAAGGACCAACCGAACCTAGAAGACGACAGGAGTGCTTCAATTCAAATTCTATTCAAATTACTTATTGTAACAATGTTGATGATTTACCTGTCTAACATTAAAATTGATGATTCATGATCAGAGGCCCAGGCGAATGAACTTGATATTCTATAAGTGCCATGTTGCTTGCTTCATTATTTTACCATTTGAAATTGATTTGTTACTGCAGATCTATTTGTAATCTATTTTTATCCTATCCATGTATTATCCTATCCATGTATTGAAATTTAAAAATGTAGAGGCAGAACAGGAAGGCCTCGTAGTCTCCCCCCCCCCCCATTAGATCCGGCCTGGCAACTATTGTATCTACTAAGTGGTCATTTATGCCTAAAAACCCCTGCACAGCTAGCCCCTGGTTATCATAACTTTTTCAGCTGATCATAACCTAATATTTCTGATTAAAAACAGAAAAAAACATGAAATGCTTAGGCTAGTTACTTCACAAAGCAACTTTGGAAGACATATTTTTAGCTGAAAATTTCTACTACCATTTATTTTCACAAAACCTAAGGATTTGTAGGGTTTAATAGTTGTTATCCATTAAATATTAAAAGCTTTAAGCTAGCTTTAACAGAACTGAAATTTGTGAATATTTCTTCTTCCATGTCCTGTAAAAAAGTACAATGCAATATTTGTGCTATAACTATATTGCATATAAAATAACAGATGTTTCTTTTAAGTACCGTATTTAACCCTTGTCAACAAAAACACCCTTGGCGTTTATTCAAATAAATAAGGTAAAAGGTTTGGTAATGTGATTTGGCCATATATGGGTAATATGACATCATCATGCCCCATGTATGGCCAAATTTTATTTGTCACAGAAAACATGATGATGTAGATTTTGGCCAAACAATCCTTCCCTCTGAATTTTTTAGGCAGCTTCCTTTGTATTTCCTGGGGCAGATGCATGATTTAGTGGTAGACGGTGCGTGAGAGTCAACACCACAAAAAATTTAGAGAATGTGGACCCAGAAATTGCACTTTCGTACAATTTAGGGGTGCGATCGCACCGCCTCCACTCCGCCCCAGATTTCACTGTCAACAAATGACAAGTGATGACAAGTTTGTTGACAGAAACATGTTTTTATGTGTATGGCAAAACCAGGCGCTTGTGAAAAATCAAAGTTTTCAAATCCACTAAAATTCCTGTGTATTGACCATATTAATGTATGTTGTTGGACTGAAAATATAAATTATTATCTTCACCCTTTTTTATCTGTTTTTAACAATTTTTTGCATCAATTATTAGCTAACTCTAGATTTTTTTTAAAAATAAGAGCCTGTTTTTGCTAGAGTGGGTCACATTTTTAAAAGACTTTTCAGAGGACAGAAAAAAAAAATTAATAATAAATTTCTCATTTAGCAAAATGTAAAATATAATATTTTATTGATGAATAAAAAAATGTAAGTGTGTGAGATGCTATTGTGTGTTCATATATTAAGAAAGCGGTGTTGCGATATAAACAGTTTAGTATTTTGGTTTGATGCTTTATATTTATATAATTGTGAGAAATTATTTAGGGGATTTCATGTCACCTGTGGGCATGAAAAACCTTCACTTCATTTGACATACTAGAAAAATGTATATATTTTTATCCGAAACCAGCATTAAAGAGGGAAGGCAGGTTTTTGAAGGAAGGTAATTAACAAAATTCTTACCTTAAATAGTTTCAATTTACTTTTTCCAATAGGATCTTTTGTTGCTATTTTGAATTTTTTTTTTTAACTATATAAAATTTTAAATTGTTAAACAGCTTTTTGTGAAAGATTTAATAGGTGCTATACACAACTAAGGGCCTTGATACAGTGTTAGGCTGTTTTCCACTAGGCAATTTTATTTGCACGAATCAAAAGCATCGGTTCATCATCCGCATACACATTCACATTTCTATCAGAATTTTTCACTTCAGTGATATTAGTAGTTCAAGCTGTTTCTACATTTTGCAGAGCAAAAAAATGCGCCACTAATCAGAGCTCAGGAAGCAAACCAAAGTTTTGATTCCCGCGAAATAAATCTGCCTAGTGGAAAATGTCAGCCTTTAGATGTACAGTAGTTTAAAATATGTCTCAGAATAAAATCTAAAAGATGGTGCAATGTAAATATAGAATTTTTGTTCTGCTTTTAATACATTGTTGTCAAAAACTGTTCTGTGCTTTAATTGAGATGAGCAAAGTGGTTTTATATTATAAACAAGTAATATACTACAGTGATGTCGTCGCAACTTTCAACAACAGTTTCATCTTGACACTAAAGATGTGATAAAAGACGTGCCAGCTTTGGTGTTTACAGATATACTCACAAAGATTATTTTTAAAGCATCTCTTTATCTTAAAAGCATCTTCAATTTCTTATGAATAAAGTGATGCAATACTAAACCAATTAATTCCTGCCAACGTGACATGAATTTAGCGGGAACGTGCACGATCTAACGATTAGTCATAAGAGCATTTTAGATTACGAAATAATTCCACGAAAAGTTTCACAATGTGCATATCTGCCAAGGTAGAAATCAATAAGTTCACTTGTCCTAAAACCATCCTATAGGCAATTTACGGTATACAATTTTATCAATACTATTTGATTTAGCATTCTTTAATATATGCTAGAAACTTTGGTCTGTCATGCAAAATTTTTCCACTTGAATGCATCCCGTTGATCATATTAAGCTATGTCTGGACTATCAAATATTCAAATTGTATGCCCAAATATAGTCATGATGTGCCTATATATGGTCATGATGTGATGTCATCAAGACCATATTTAGGCATGTCACATGTTTTTGTCAAAGAAGATTTGATAGTCTGGACCGGACTTGACGCAGATTTTATTTTGTAATGTTCCTCATTAGGCTTTTGTTGTAATGGCTTTAATTAATTGTATATTAATTAAAAGTATTAATCAACACAGTAAAAATTAATAATATTTTATTTTCAGTATTATTGTTTTTCATATGTTAATCATTTTGTTATATAATATACAAAATGTCTTATATCCATAAATTTGCAAATTTAATAATTATTAAAAATAAGTATTGTAGTTTTTTATGTAATACTGTCAATAATGTATTAACTTTTATAAAAATACAGTTAGTATTATTATTATTGTTATTTTCTTTAAAAATAATGGATTAGTTATTGGAATAAACATATCTTTTATAATACATCCTAGTTGTTGAATAACGAACCAGCTATTTTTAGGGAGGAAACTGTTTTCTTCTATGTTTTTAATGTAACAATACTAATGTTTATTCAAAAAAATATCATCCTACAAAAAATAAAAATAATTCTCAATTTTACCAGAAATCTATAATATTTAATCTATACTGGTAAATGTGTGAGCGAGTCTAGACAACATTTTTTGCTGATGATATACAACTATAAAGGTGGTTGAACTTTGCATTGTTCCATAAATGAATATTAAATTGATTGATGTCTTGTCATTCAATGTTTACCTCCGTAAGTTAGTCATCTGATGTATTATATCTTTTGCATATCATTTGCGGTGTTTATAAAACGAGTTTGGGATTGATCATGCCCGTAAAAGACGGCTTTCTATGAAAATATTGATCAATACTTGCTGGTCTACAAGCATCTGATTAATCAATGCGGTGTCAGGAATTTATATCCATTAATGCGTAACGATCCTTAAAGTGAACATGTTTAAACGTAAATTGGCGCTTACATCAAAGTTCAACCAGCATTAACAGCTAGGTTTGTTGAAATGAAATTACTTTTCTAGATTTCACTAGGATAATTTAAATTGCTGGTTTCACTTTAGAGAGATTGAAGAACTAATTACATCATCAATCATCCAAGAATGCATCATTATTATTTTTAGAATGGCATGCTATTAAATGCAGTGTAACATTTTTTTTTTTTTTGGTAAAAATCTCCTGATATAAGCGAGCATATTCTTTTTCTTTTTTTTTTTATTTACTAAAACAACATTTTACAAATCAAGGCGAAATTGTGTGTAAATAACAATTCATCAAAGATGACCCTTCAAAGAAAAACAAAAATACAAACATACTTTGAAAAATTAAAGATGTGCATCATGTGCATCAGGACAGAGTAAAAAAAAAAAAAAAAAAGCTCCCAGCAGGAGCGTGTGTCTCCTGCCTAATTCTATAGAAACGATGATGTGGAAAATGATTAATGATTTAAATGGTTTATCATCATGAGAGTAAGTGGGGGTGTTGATATTATACTCTCGTGTATAATTGCCTATTCATTGTATACACTACAGTACACCATGGTATTTCCTGTTAATAGATAGATTTCAGTGACAGTGATATCCTTATTCTGTTACCAGGACAACTGTTCTGATTTCCTCCATGCTGTTACTACTAAACCAATACCTAAATTTAGATATCCACCTACACATGACCTCCACCGGAATTAGAAAGGTCTACAGTTGCGTGACAACCCTGTTGGGGCAGTAGACACAAAAAATGTTGAATTGTCAGAATTTTGAAATTTTTCAGAAATGCAGGGGCCCCAAGTTGAAGAAGTCACTTCTGGAAGAAGACTAATTTTATCGATTGAGTGCTTGTTAATACCTGTGTCCCAATCATGAGAAAATTTGAAGTTATAAAAAGGAAAAGAAAATCTTCTTCTTTCTCTACTCGAAAGGTTAGTCCTTTCATGAAGCAAATTAGGCTTACTACTCAGATTCTTAGAAGAAAATCTTCTGACGTAAGAAGCTTGAATTAAGTAACTTAATACAAAGAATGTCATGGGAACATCACATACCCAGGGCTTACGACAAGTAGACTTTTACTTTGAGCTAATACATCAAGAATGCTTCTAAATTTCATAGCGTATAAAATAAAGATTATCTTTTATGTTGCACCAATTAGTCACTACCTAGGTAACAATTTAAGCAACTGCCTCAACTTTTGTCAGGCTAATGAACCATTTGATGACTTCAGATCATTCACGCCTCAAGTGTGTGAGTGCATCAACTAGTTTTGTCCAAAAAAATGTTGTGCATGAATCCCCCAAGCTCATCCAAAGGATTCATTAGCCTGAAGAATGTGACCGTATGTAGCTG